AAAATTTCTGGAAATAAACTAGACATTTGCCCCTAAAGCCTTAAGTCACGACGTTTCTCATCAGGATGATTAATCTTTACGAAAAGGCAGGAAAACAAGACAGAGCCGCCCACTTTGACATTTTCATTCTTCGAAAAAAAAAATCCCAATGTAGTTCATGAACTGGAACCATCGCTGTGAAAAGTATATAATCCATCAAGAGTACATGTTGATTGTAAGATTAACAAGATCATTATCTTTCTTATTCTTTGCAATGAGAAAACTGTAATGACATTAAAAAGTGGTTCTAGCAGTTTTACTTAGAAATCTGATAAACCTCTGCCCAGGAACCAACCAACATTTAATAACAAGGTTACCTCATTTTTCCCTTTTCTGCTTACTTGAAAAAAATATAAACAACAAAGTATAACATTAAAAAAAACCACTCCGTTAGTTTCTACAGGACTCATTTTTGCCTAACCTTTCTACGTGCAATGACTGGAGAGTGGGGGGGTGTGTAGCTCTCAGGTAACACGTCAAGCATCCTACAGCTTCTGTGAGCGGGATGTGAGAGCGCGCGCCGCGTGCCGCGGAAGTAAAGCAGAGCATCCTCGTGGTCACATGGAAAGGAAGGGAGGAAGGAGAGACCTGAACAGGCAGGAAGAGGTTTCTCTGCAGGCTCAGGGAGTTTCCTGTCGGCTGTGTCTAAAGGCTTTAACCCAAAAGGAGTCTAACCTGAGATCATTCTTAAAGATTTGGGTTTGTTCCCTTTCTCTCCTCGTTTTCTTCCCTCCCTTTGGAACACTTTAGGTGGGGAGTAAACCAGCTCTAATGCTGAGAGAGCTTTGCCCTAGAGAAAAGACAAGAGTATGAAAGGAAGGACTGAAGGCGAGTTGTGAGGAGGAAGGGAATCACTCACACCCAGCGGGCTGAGGGCGAAGGAGCAGGGCTGGGAGGGCAAGCAGAGGAACAAGACAGGAAAGCAAAAGAAAATGGTGCTGAGAAAACAGCTGGGAAACTAAGCTGGCAAAACGACAGATTTGTCCATTTAACATTAACTTGTTTACCTGTGTTATTTTTTCTATTCCCTGGAAGTTGTGCTTCTCAAAATGTTCTGCTATGTTTAGGAAGGTGTGGCGTTCTAGATAGCAGCAGTTACTTAGGACTATCAAAATTCGCTGTTCCTAAAAGCAAAACAAATTTTTATGAAATTACATTTATAGTAACAAACTGAGAATATAACAGACAATACCTATCACTTCTTAAGTTTAATTATAATCTCTTATTCTTTATCATCAATATTCAATGCTTTGCTTCTCTTTGCTGCTTCTTTCCCAATATTATAATATGAAGAGAAACATAATACAATCCTGCAGTTCTACTATTTGCTCATTATTACATAATATACTCAGAGTCAAACAATATTTCCTTTGACATTTAATGGCTGTATGGAAAAATAAATTGATAAAATCCATTTAACCAGGATTGGCTGTTCTTAGGAAAGGGTTCTACTTTATTGTTTATTCTTCTTAATACTTTGTGTACACCAAAGGCTACAGGAATGGATATTTTAAATAATTATATTAAAAATGTAGAAACTATCGGAAAATAGCTTATAAATTTTTCATAACTTGGAAGAGAATTATACTGCCCTATATTCCATACGATAAGCTCCTTCAAAAAACTTAGGCCTTTAAGAAACTTTTGTGTAGGTAGGAGAACACCAAGAATGGTCCCCCTCTAATGGGGAGGGGGTCACCAAGGCCAGGGGACTCCTCCCTCGGGGACGGTCAGTGTCAGCCAAGGAGAAGGGAAGAACTCCACCTACTTCTGCATTCTCCAGGGCTCTGTCCACTTAAAGTAATTTCTTACAAAAATTACCAGACCCAAATGCTGTTGAATACAGTGTCCTTTTCCAGTTCAGAAGAACTGTTTTTGTGAATAAAACTCCAGGAACGCCTTTGCCGCGGTGTCGCGGCTCACTGAGGCTCCCCGTCCTGTGCTCCCACGGCTGTGGGGGCATCGTCCCATTCTCTGGAACAACTGAGACTCGTCCAGGGCCCTGACTCAGATCCCTTGACTAAAGCTGTGGCAAAACCACTTTCCAGGGAAAGTCCTCACCCAGACTTTGCTTCCTCTTTGTGTGCATAGTCAGAACGACTTAACAGTAAAGGAACTCAGCATGACAACTGTGGAAACAAACAGGTTCCTGCTCTTTCAGGTACGTGCACCAAAGGTGAACAGCTATACTCCTGGAACTCTTGGAACTCAACTGCCAGGCGTATATAATATCTCCCAATAATTTCACCTAGCACTGTCGAATTTCTAAAAACTTTCTAGATTTCTTTATTTAAAATGTTCTATCTTTATTTCTGGCAGAGCACAGCCTATTCACTGCCTTTTTTGGTTATCAACAAATGTAAGTAAAAGGCTGAAGAATTATTAAGGGACCGTCAAACAAATGAAAGGTTGCTGATAGCCCTGAGTTAACCCATGGGCGGGAAGCGGAGTACAAAACAGGGTAAGCAGGGCTACATTACGTATAACACCCAATTTCCACAATTTGTGAATAAAGACACCAGAAAGCAAGCGGTGAACGAGCCCTGGAAACTTGCCTGGCGAGGCCGCGTTTCCCTCCGGCCGAGCCTGGCACCACCGTCACACACTCCCCGAAACCACATGGAGTAAAGTAAGCGAGACGCTGCAGCAGCCACTCCGAACGCGCTGCGTTCCTCAAAAATCTCAACGGGCGTCTCAGTTCCAAAATCAATCTTTAATTCCCTTTTCCTCCAAGAATCAAACCTCCTTATCTAGCAGACTTGAGCCTGGCACATCTTCTCTGCCCTGTGAATTAACTGTCTTTGCTTGATTCTTTCCCACTGTGCTACGCATGGTTCTTCAAAAATGGGAAAACTATTTGAGTGGCTTAAAATCTCAGTCAGTGCATTTGCTTCTCAAATCTAACCGATCAGATGCAATAAAAGTGGGGAGAACAACTGAACAACACAAACAAATTCTTAAACTTGGAAGACTAATCAAAAGCTTATTAACAACTTAGATGGTGATGTGTATTTGAAAACAACAACCCATCAAACATCACACCTGTGGACGAAGGAGAAAGTCTTAGGTATCGTTCCAGCCATTCCTCAGGGCATCTCTGTGACGCAGGCATCACCGTCACAATTTATCTGGAAAACACGGCCTGGATGCCCTGAGGTTACGCAGTTAGTGAGGAGCACCCATCACGCCAGCCTGTGTCTTCTGTCTGACCCCACATCTAGATCTTTCTTTCCATAACTGCCTCCCTTCTGGGTAATAGAACAAGACCTAAGGAGAGCTCAGTATCGGAGAGAAAGAGCCACATCGACCCAGATACCTTCCAGTGGGGAAAAGCAGGAACTGAGTCTGGTCACAAACAGCACTGCAGAGTAAGACGAAGCCCTGCGACTAGCAGCGCGTGTGCGGAGTGCTGGCGCCGCCGACAGAAGGTGCGATCTGAGTCCAGCACGGGGAGCCCAGCGCTGACTCCCGCGCTCCCCAACGAGGGGCGGGGGGCAGGCTGGAAGGACCACTCCCATCAACACGGCCTTCGCCACCGCCACTCGAGGGAGCACAAGCACCCTGCAGGGCAAGGCCTAAGGATTCAGGGTGTCTGCTAGGAGGAGGGAAGCCTCGGTGCACACAGCCAAGGTTCCCAGACACCAGAAAGGTATTCACATGGCAATCAGGCTTGTTCTGAAAGATGGAGGAAAAAAGCAGGTTGGCCAGAGAGCTCGCCAGGCCCCTCTCCATTCTGGGGCTCTCCTTGAGCCCTGGCTCCCCCTGCCCCCTTCTTTCTCCTTTCTCAACCAGGCCAAGGCCTCACTCCTGCTGCCAAGCCACAGGCCCCGCGGCTCACCCCCCACCACCTCAGCCGCACACTGCAAGCAACCTCGTCAGAGTGCTCTTCCCATCCGTCTCAGGGTGCATCTCTGGGCTTCTTCCCAGCACTCTGACGCGTCAAGGTTCTTTGCTTCTAGCTACCCCTTAAACAGTGACACCCAATGTTACTTCTGTATTATATACTTGGCCCTTCTCTCATCCAACCAGTACAGGGTCCCCCAGGCCCCCCACTTTCCTTCTACCTCCTAACTGAGCAGCAGAGTGCTCTGACCCCTCTGTGCTCTGACACGCTGCCTGTTTTCCCTGGCAGGCTTGCACCCAGGCCGGGCCTTGAACAATTCCAGGCACTGGTAAAGCTCTTTGGGCTGTTGCCTGAGAACAGCGAGAGAGCAACCATGTTGCTAAGCAGGTAGAAACCAGCCCTGCCCTGAGCCGAATTCCTTGCACCCTTACATAAACCCCATAACCTGATCCCCTTGTTGCTGACATACCCTGGTAGAACACCTCGTCTTGCTGTCTCTTGAGAGGACATACTGTGGCCTCTCCACATGTAAGTTCCCCTAATGCTGCGGACTGATCGCCTGGCGTTTGGCGGTTCTTTCTTTGGAATCCAGCTGACCCATCTGTTGGAACAACCTGGAGCAGTGCTCTACAGGAGTGCCCCTGCGGCCAGTTTTGGGGTGACTCCAGCTGCAAGTCTGGCTGGAAGAAACAACTAGTATTTTCCCTGGTATTTTCATCTACTCCCAGGCCTCATGTTGTTCATGTACCGCTGATTCACAAATCTACACCTAGATTTCTCTCCTGGGATCTCATCACCCATTAAAGATCTCGACCTGAACGTCATCCACTCAACAAATCTGGTCCCAAACTGAGTTTTTTTAATCTTTCTTTAGAATCTGTTTTCTTCCTGTATTCTTTGTCTCGGTAAATGCTATCACTCTCTACCTAGTCATCGAAGTAATTAAACCTAGAATATTTTTTTAATTACTTCTAAACTATACTTTTCCTAACATACCAAACTCCTTATTTAGGAATTCATGCCTAAAAACACAGTAACTATGGAAATGACATAGGGTAGAATTCAGGTATTTTTTTTTCCTTGAGACACACAAACACACACACACCCTTTCAGCTCATGACAAACCAGAGAGGGTTGTTTTCTTTAAGACAGCCTGAGTTTGAATTTCGATAACTGAATATATACATATGATAATTCACGTATGTGAATTCTCCCTAAATATGTACATATGTTGAAAATAATACATATAGGTATGTATATGTGTGTTTACATATGCATGTATGTGTTTATGTATACATACATATTTTTTATTTGAACCTGTGTTCAAATAAAATGCCATTAGGGCACGTATGGAAACAGAGCAGAGCAGAACTTCTCTGCCTGAAGAGGCCACATGTGAAGGTTTGGGCACCCTCGTTCTCCTTGGCCGCCCTGCCGGCTCTGGCGCAGGAGGGCACCGTGGGTGCCTGCTCAGCACTCAGGAACTGCACAGACGCGGTCTGTGGAACCATTCAAGTTGCAATTCCAAGTAAGAAGTTTTCAGTGTGAAATTCATATAAATTATATTTAGTAAAATTTTCACATACTATGACATAGCTCCACAGCATAGAGCAATGTGCTGTGCCAGCGGTCCCCAACCGTTTTGGCACCAGGGGCTGGTTTCACGGAAGACAGTTTTTCCACAGACTGGGGGGAGGGGGCGATGGGAGTGCTGGGGAGCAAAGCTCCGCTCGCCTGCCCACCACTCACCCCCTGCTGTGCGGCCGGCTCCCAACAGACCTCGGACTGGTGCCTCCGTGGCCTGGGGCGTGGGGACCGCAGTTCTACACTAACAATACATTCTACAGCAGTGATGCAGTAACATTCAAAGCGATTTACACCGATTATGAAATGTCATTAGTTTTAACATGTTTTACTTTCTATTTATAATCCTACTCACAGAGGTCAAGCTGAAGTCTTCATGGATACTTCTGAACAAATCAGGGGAAGACACGTCAATGGAAAGACTGAATACAGAAGTAAGCAAGCAAACAGTTACAATTAGAGCACTAAAATTTAAAAATGCAATGAACTGTTAAATATATATCAATTTCAATTTTAAATGTTTTGGTTAAAAATCATATAACCTTCTACAAGTTTTTTTATATTTAGCAATTAACAGCTCAAAAAGGCATCATGGGCTATATATTAACATGGGCCATATGAAATTTGCTTTTGGGTCCTCCTAAAGTCTTAGGGCTTTGATTTAATTAAACTTAAAAATAAATCACTAAGTGGAAAATGTCAAATAATTCTAATTATCCTAAGTATATACTTACATAATTAAAATGTTTCTGCCCATCAGAATATCCAGGGGGCTTTTTCAAGCTCATTTTCATAGTTAACCCCTTATAGGGTGAAGTGAGTTAGGAAATTAGTTGATAACTCACAAGTGATCAGAAATATAAAATGGGGGGGGGATCATAACCCCACAGACTAATTCACGGATAGAACAGAATCATAGCAAACACCTTCGCAGGACTTATTTTCTTTAAGCCTGACCAACTGATTTTAGAATTCATATGGAAGGCTAAAATGATGAAAATATAAAGTAACATTTCAAAATTGAGAGGTTAAAAAAAAATACCAAGCTGAAAAACAAAACATAAACTAGTGATAATTAAAACAGCACCAACTGATACAAAACGTGTTTGAACAAAAGATAAAGTTTAGAAATACACTGCACTATATATCAGAATTCAATGATACATGAAACAGAAATTTTAACAAAATAAGGAAAGACATTAATAATTAGCTATTAATTAATAATTATTAATATCAGGGATCTGAGAATACAAATTCCTGGTGAAATAGTGAGCTAAAAATATGAAATCAAAGAAAATCTAGAAGAATTAAAAACTTATTAGGTCTTTAGAGAGGTAATAGTTTTTCATACACTGAAAAGCAAAAACCAGTACCAATAAATAGACTAACATGGAAAAATTCTCATATTGTGAATTAAAGATTTCAGAGGCATTTATTTCAGTGTTACCTGTGTCAGCATAAATCACAGATGCACAGAAGTTGCGCATGCCAAGTATAGTTCAGAAATACTAGATTTAAAAAAAAATCACAGCATTTTACAATGCTGTCCAATAGAACATGGATGTCCACACGGATTTGTAAACATCAAGAGTTAAGATGTGTCCTCTAGAACAGCAGGTCCTCAACCTTTTTGGCACCAGGGACCGGTTTCACGGAAGACAGTTTTTCTGTGGTCCCGGGGTGTGGGGAGGATGCCTTTGGGACGAGTCAAGCACATCACATTTGTTGTGCAGTCAGCCCCTCTGCTAACGATGATCTGTGTTTGCAGCCGCTCCCCAGCGCCAGCATCACCGCCTCTGCTCCACCTCAGATCCTCAGGCACTGGATTCTCACCGGGAGCCGCAGCCTGGATCCGAGCGATGGGGAGCGGCTGTAGTACAGACGAAGCTTCACTCACCTCATCTCCTGCTGTGTGGCCCTCCTGGTTCCTAACAGGCCACTGATGGGTGATGGGTGCTGGTCTACAGTCTGGGGCTTGGGGGCCACAGATCTGAGAGCTCAAATAACTGAGCCTGACCCAGACTTACTTCTGCCAACATGCTTAGTCTCTAACGAGAATACTGGTGTGTTCCCCCAATGTTAGGATTGTAAAAATAATCAACTAGGGGTTATATATTTAAATTTTCTACTTTATTAATTACAAAATCTGTTCAACAATAAGCTAATCATGTGTTTAAGTTGCTTAATATGTCTTTAATAAGGCTGTGTTCAGAAGATAAAGAAATTATGGAAAGAATATAGATCAAATGTATAAAACTGACTTTAATGTGAACAATCTCTCTCCTACTGAAGTCTTCGGATATAAGACCAAATATAAAACTTGAGTCTATATTTTTAATTCTCCTACATGCACTAATGAGATTAATTTCATTTTCACTTACTGTGTAGTATCTATATCTGCATCCGGTTTGGTGCTCAATTGTTCCAGACAGTATATAAAAACCTAAGTCAAAAATAATAAGTTTCAGAACTCTCAGATGAATGAACTCTCAGATATTAATCTATTTGGACATAAAAGTAACTTTACATAAATTAAAGTATATATCCCATAAGTACTGTGGTGGGGGGGAGATATGTGTATAGGAATATATTTTATATATATCCTGTTAATGATAGAAATATATATCCCATCAATACATATTGTATAAATAACAGAAAATTAAAAGCACTAATGTTTTGATCAATTATTAAATTCTTGAATATATTTTAGGAAAAAGACCTTTTCCCACTCACTCAAATGTTCAACTTTGTTTATGTGCTTACAGAGCACTGGTCCCAATCAAAAAACTTTACACTCTAGATATAATGTAAATGATTATCATTTAATTTACTCTGTGCTCTAATAGAAATATATACAAAGTACCAAGAGAACACAAAAAAGGGGAGCGTAATATAAATGAAAAATTTGGGTATTGCTTAAATAAGTTGGAATTAATCCTACATTAAACTTTATTTTATTGCCCTATTTACCCTAAACTATTATGTATGCAGAAAAGATGAAATACATATTTGATATATGTTGTACACACATCATAGACAGAAGGGGGCTGGCTAGCACGACTCCTAGCTGTGGGCATCACTGCTTGCAATTATTACCTGCATAATACTGATGCTTAGTTGGCAAACCTCCTCCTGTGTTTTCGGTTGTTGAAAAACCTATGCAGAAGAATCCTCATTAAAAATTTTGCACTTTGTTAATAAAACAAAATTTTTTCTTTATGAAGTTAGATATAAACAGTTAAAATATGGAAAACTGCTCTAGGCATGGGTCTCCCTACTCTGAAAGGGGACATGAGTGAAGAGCTGGCCTAGAGGTGGTTTAGCAGCTGTGGTGGCTCTGGCTTGAGAAGACCATGAAGCACTGGGCTGAGGGACAATAACCAGGTCATTCTGCTCGCAAAGTGCTGTCACTGCGATCACGCTACCACATTTTAACTTTCAGCAGCTATCTCGGAACAGGCAGGCCTATGCAGTTAGACTACATGAAACAAGCAGGCAGCGAGGGAGAAGAGCTCTTGTGCTGCAAGGACTCAGAAACACGCGGCTGTGACTGCCAAGGGCTCCTCGGGAAGTTCGGAAGTGAAGGTGGGACAGAGCAGGAACTTACGCTGGCCTCTCCGGGCTTGCACTCGAGAATGCCCTGCAGGGACTGTAGGGAACGCACGATGCACTGTTCAAACTTACACGGCTGCAGGAAAAAATGTGTATCTTAACATTAAAACCATGCACTGGTTAGGTTATTAAGATACACTTAACAGAAGTGTGTATAGCCAAAAGCTCTAAATTTTCCAGATTTATGGAAAGGAACAGAGACATAAATATGAAAGTAATCTCCTAGTCGTTGAGTTTTCAGGTTTGGCATGTTTTGCACTTAATATTTAAAAATGGGTAAATCTTGAGACTCTAAAGTACAGCTACTGCAACCAGAACAGAAGTCAGGCATAACTGCAACTTTCTTCAAGACTCTATTCTTGTGAGAGGCAAATGACATAGTAAGTAGCAGATACAATGAGTATATATTTTAAATGCTATTTCCCAGGTATATTCAGGGATGAGCTCAAGTTCTTAGATCTTCCACATCTCTGGTACTGTTCAACAAAATTTAATGTTAATACTAATGATCGGAGGAGGTATGTCGCGCCATGAATTAATATTACTATATTAGAGACAGAAATGGACTCAGGAGTTTCGCAGGGCTCTGCCCTGGAGGAATACGTGAACGTGTTAGTTTGCATATCAAAAGCTGCTCCGCCTCAGGAGGGCATCTCAAAGGTCAGTAGCAGCTGCTTTCCAAGGTGACACTGTGGTCTCAACCCCGTGGTTTTCACCTGCTTTGAAGGACAAAGCAAGGTCTGCATGGAACCACAGGATGAGAGTCGATCAAGGAGCCTCCGCCCGAGAGAGAGATACCTGCGGCTAAAAACGATTAGCCCAAGGGACAGTTCCTGCTTGACTTCTGATCATCTGTCTCTATCTGCAATAACTAGATAAAGAAATATGGAGCCACTATATCTCTGTTTAACCCTTCTGTTAAGTGATAGCTTTCTCTTAGAACTTAGAAGTTTGTCCTTGAAAGCTTTTGTAACCGGAGTTAGTTAAGGGATCTATAGAAGCCTTCTGAAATACTTGTAACCTAAAACGAACTACCTGTTATTATGTATATCTGCTACCCCTGACAACCAACCTCTGTACCTATAAATACCCATGTAAAACTTCACTCATGGCCTTGTGATTGAAGGAGATGTCGCAAGGTCCCCTAAGTGCCCTGCTTTTTGCCTATTATCTTTATAAATCTATAAAGCTATACCTTCGTCTCTGTGTATTCTTTTATTTCTGTTATCTTCCATATTCTATTATTTTCTTATCCTTTGCGACGACCCCTACCTAAGGGACCCAATTTTTTGCTGGGAGTGTAGCTAACTCCCTGCAGAAGTACAAGATCTTTAAATCAGATAAGTCATTACAGTCATTTCTATATACTTTAAGTCAGAAAATGAAACTTGGAAATAAGTCCAACCAGTGGCATTTCAAGGTAAGTGTGAATGGATCCTGACATCCTAGCTCCTAAGAGTGTTTAAGATTTTACTTTGTGCCGGGAGGGAGCTACTCTAGGTGACAGAGACACAGGAGTGAGTAAGAGAGAGTTCTCATTATAGTATATTCTAGCCAGGAGACACTACCATTTAAGTCACTGTCAACAAAATGGTTAAAAAAGAAGTATAGAAATAAAATAATTGCATTTGTAAGCCATAATAGGCACCATGAATAACACATGCAAAACTCAGAGAACAACTGTGATGGAGGAGCATCTTCTCTGAATAGGATGGTCGAGGAAGCCCCCACCCTCCCCCAGCCGGTGAAGACACTGGAGCTGAGGGCAAAGCACAAGAGGGACGGGCCCTGAAGAGGACAGTGAAGGAGGGAGCAAGTCCTCGCAGAAGGACAGCATACATGGCCCAGGGTGGCTGCGGGGTGGAGGGACACAGGAAGAGCAGCACGCGAACCACTGAGCGCAAGCATGGTCTCGAGAAACGGGACAAGGGGTCTGGGTTTCATCCAACAGGCAGTGAGCTGTGGAGGCTCAATGCTCAACCTCCCAGATCTATGCAAAAGTCTGGAGTGAGAACCTCTCCTTAATACACACATCAACTTTTAAGAGGTTTAGGAAAAAACTGAACAGAAGAAAGGAAGTGACACCTGTGTAAATACTAAAAAAAAGACCTGTATTTTCTTACCTAAGGGAACCCAGACTTAATGAAAGTTAAAATAAAATTGATAAAATGGTAATAAAATTACTCAGCCTTAGTGTAATTTTATTACTGCACTTTGAAACCACCAGGGGGCACCATGAAGAATACTTAAAAATGGAAGTACAGAAAAAATAATAAAAAGTAAGGAATGTCGGATGAAATACCAATGGCATAGAAAGCATTTAAAGAGTCAGAACATATGTTAGATGACTGACCTCATTCATCTGACCTACCTGCCTTGGAAAGAAAATTTAATATGTTAAAATAATAATAATAATTATGATACTGAGAATTAAATCCAACATTCAACTGTGGGCAGCTCAATGTCAATGTTCATGTGTGGTTATTTATATTTCTTGTATTAAAATTTGAACTAGACTTTCTTATTAATTTTATTTTTATATCTATATTAATATAAGTGGATAGAGACTACTAGAAGGCTCAGTGTGTCTCAGTTATACAGGGAGTAAGTTACAGTCTAAACATTTTCAGAAAAAAGAAATAGTACTATCTCTGCGTATCGTCAGTGAATCATCCAACTTAGCTAACTGTAAGAGGCAATCACACATCATTCCAGTTCTTCTGAAAGAAGAAAATTCTCAGAATTATCCAAATTGAAAAAAGGCAGAAACTATTTTCAACATGAGAAGAAAACAGGATGCTTTCAATGAGCTGTTTCAGGGCACTGAAGCGAAGTTCTAATTAGAGATAATACTTCAGCTGAAGAAGACAGTCATAATGAGGGAAAGCTTATGTTCATTTCTTTAATGTGATAAGTCACATTTTCCTTTCCCAGCTACAGGGAAAGAAAAAGTACTCTCATCTCAAACAAATGGGATTGGTACTGTGGAAATATTAAGAAAATATAAATTAGAAGTATGTGATAAACTTTGATAAAATTTGTCATTGTTCAAAGTCTAAGAATTTCACGCACACGTTAGATCAAAACACTAACACTCAAAGCCGGACTCTAGACTTGTGCTCTAAGCGTTGATCCGCCTTTTCTCTTAAGAGAGATCCGTGCCGAATAACTAAAAACTTTACTCAGTGTTACCAGTCTATCATGTTAGCATATTTCTTCGCTGACACTTGACTAGAAACCGTCTAGATGAGCTACTTCCTGCGGGTCATTCATTCACAAGGTGTACTGAGGGTCAGCGCTTTCGTCCCTGCGCGTAGTTCCGTGGCTTGTCATGTGTGAGATCAAACATGAAATTAGTTATTTTTTGGTTACAATTGAACTTTAAAAATAAACTACGAACCAGTTTCTGTAGTAACCACTTCAGAGCATCTTCACAGGGGCTGGTCTACGATGACCACACGGCCAGCCCAAGGCGCGGCTGCCCCGGGGAGGCACACGTGGGCTGCCACAAATGCAGAGGCACCAGCCCGGAGAAGGACCTACAGCCATCACCTGTGTTATGGCTCAGAGCCAGGTACTGAATGTATGAAGTTTGGCAAAAGAAAACATAGAACCTTGACAATTTTCTCAAATTGAGCATATAATTTTTTTCCCTTTGCACAAGACTGATTTGAGCATGTGTCGTGAACCAGGCATCAAGGTGACTCAGTGGTTAATCCACCTGCACCCACGTATCTGGGCAAGTTACTCAGCAGGTGATCGTCCAGTGGTCCCTTCTGGCCTGTCCTTGAGGCTTGCTGTAACGACCAGGACAGGGTCATAGGACAGTGCTTTGAAAATAGTGAGGGCTAATGTAAGCTTAAGGTATTATTATCAGAGTGGCCCCAGCTATTGTATGTTATTAATTAAACAAATAAAAATCCTTTATGTTTGGCTAAAGCTTTGCGGTTTACAAAGCGCTCTAATCCACAGTATCTTATTTAATCCTAACTCAACACTGTGAAGCATTGTCCTGCTCCTTCTTTACAAATGAAGACACTAGGGTCACACAAGTTACATGACTTCTTCAGGACTGGACGGAGGACTAAACCAGGTTTTGATTCTAAACTGAGTGCAATGCGTTTTCCCTCTGTGCCAGTGCTGTTCAACAGAAATGTAATGTGAGCCACAGACATAAGCCACATTTCAGATTTTCTAGTAATCACATTAAAAAAACTAAAAAGAAAGAAAACTAATTCTAACATAATTTATTTAATGTAACATACCCAAATATTATTATTTCAACATGTGAACAATATACAAAGCTGAGATGTTTTACATTCTGTCTTTTTGTGAGTCTCGTGTGGCTTCATACTGGGTGGTGCAGGTCTGCCTTGCTCTAAAGATTGAGGGTGAGAGAGAGTTAGCTACAGACTAGTTTGTACTTACATATGATAATTGTGACAGACAGAATAAACCCAGTCAATTAAAATATTCCTATAAAAACAAATCCTTAAAATAGAATTATAATTTATTAAAATGATAAATGTCCCTAATTCATTTCAAGCATGCTTTAACTTGAAAAAAACTGTCAGTAAACATTGCTTTTCTAAACCACATTGTTACATAAAGTATGCTACAACTGTATATATTTACATTAACTTAAGATAGGATCTTAAAATTTGGAGGAATGGCCAGGCATGGTGGCTCACGCCTGTAATCCTAGCACTCTGGGAGGCCGAGGCGGGTGGATTGTTTGAGCTCAGGAGTTCGAGACCAGCCTGAGCAAGAGCGAGACCCTGTCTCTACTAAAAATAGAAAGAAATTATCTAGACAACTAAAAAAAAATCTATAGAAAAAATGAGCCGGGCACGGTGGCCCATGCCTGTAGTCCCAGCTACTCGGGAGGCTGAGGCAGGAGGATCGCTTGAGCCCAGGAGTTTGAGGTTGCTGTGAGCTAGGCTGACGCCACGGCACTCTAGCCAGGGCAACAGAGCGAGACTCTGTCTCAAAAAAAAAAAAATTTGGAGGAATGGAATGAGTCCACAAATCTCCAACCCTCAAGGGACGCCCGCTGATGAAAAGTACAGTCTGTCCTTCACACCCACAGGTCCACATCCATGGATTCGACCAGAGGCGGAACCAGCTGGAAGTGGAAGATGCAGAACGCCAACCTTAAGGGCCTTGAACATCTTCAGATTTTGGTATCATGAGGGGGTCCTGGAACCAACCCTCACCCGCCATGGACACTGGGGGACAACTGCACAGAAATCCAAGGAGACGAAATACCATCCAGCATCACTGCTTCTCAACAGGCTGACTCATCACTGGTTTGTAAATCTGGGCAAGTCAAGACCATTTGATTCTACTTTCCTTATCTAAGGCAGAAACTGCTGGATGCCTCTCCAGGATTTATTTTCTCCTTATTTCTTACTAAAGACAGACAGAAATTGTTGGGAATAGCCAGGTACTCTGCTAAAAAACTCCATTTTCCCAGCCTTTGTTGCTGCCAGGGACGGGCGTGTGACTGAACTATGGCCAAGCAGGTGTGAGAACAGATGCCGCTGTGGCTCCTGGGAGAAGGCTGGGCTCTCTGCGGACAGCAGTGAGACCACGAGTGACCACGAGGTCCTCCCGAGTAGCAGCCACCGTGAAGCGTCACAGGGAAGGAGCCCTGGGCAATGACCGCATGACTGGGCTGCTAGGTTAATGTAGGAGAAACAGAAGACCCTACTCTGTCTTGTTTAAGCCACTGGGATGTTCCAGCAGCTGACTGGCAAAGCAGGATCCATGAGATGAGTGTAAAAACACGATAAATCAGGAAAACTATTTCCAAAGGTATGTGAAACTGAAAGTCCCATCTGAAAAGATGATGATTCTAGAATGAACAGATTATAGTTGCCTGCCCGACCTGTGAATGCATCTGGAGAGGTCTGTGGTTGTTGTTTTCATTTGTTTGGTTGGTCGGTTTTGGCTTAACAGCCAGCAATAGCGTTTTTTCTGTCCTGCTTTTCCAAAAAATTCAAGCTGCAATTAAGCGTATTCTACTTTTTTTAAAAGTAACAAAAACAAAAATAGTAAGTTATACAATATGAAGAAAGGTCACTCCAAACAAAGCCCACTCTTTTCATTGATTTCTTAATATTTGTAGTTTAGTGTTAAGGAAAAATGACTCAGACAAGGAAAGCTTTAAGAAGCTTATTATTTCTATTTACAGAAACTATTTAGAGTGGCAATGTAAAGAGCTTACGTTCCTTATCAATATAATAAGCCATTTACTTTGAATATACATTAATGACTAATAATTAAAAAGAATGTATACTCACTAGAGAAGTCAGTCCTTCATTATTAACAATCCAGTCTTCCTTTTCAGCTAATCTCTTTATCTCTACATGGAAAACGAGTGCACAAGTACTATTCATTATAATTATCTCACCGATCTTTATAGAGATAAAAATCTATACGTGTTATGGTTTTTCATTGTTTTATATAGGCTTGTAAAAACTTGCTGAAAGCAGGGAAAAGAATATAATCATGATAGACTTGAGATTTTAAATATGTATTGTCCACTGGATTTTTTCCAATAAAATATTACTGCAAATAAAATTTTTCACTGTGTAGCCTGATTTGGAGGATTCTAGGCTAGGTTTAATGACAACTTGAGGCAATGATTTATTACGTATTCAGTATTCTTGATAATACTAGATATGTACAAAATAAGCCATATAATATGTTTTTCCTAAAATTTCCGATGAATGAATTTGGATTCTGTCTGAATCCTACACGTTCTTGACGACAGCAGCATGGCTCTGACCTGGCTAAAGGAATGCCACCTGCCCAAACCTTCAGTGCTGGGGGCTCAGGCTCCCAGTGGGAAGGAGGCGATGAATTAAGAGGAGAATGTTCGGTTTCTCACCTGGATTCCATTCCTCTCCCTTTCCATGTACACAGTGTATTTGCCATCAATTCTGTGACCTTCCTACCTGAAAACCCTGATGGCAGACAGCAATGGCTTGCACCATTTGTAACAATGTTTTTCATTGTTTGGAAAATATTTAATATCCCAAAGGCTGCTTTGAAAGAAAACCTTCATTGCTTTTTATGATTTTATGTA